TACCTTTCTCACTTAATAGCCACACATGCAATGCTAGAGGCCTGCGTCGATTTTGGTTCCAGTAATGTTAATGGATTTTGTCATATCATTGATCAAGAGTACCTTCAGCGTTACCCTGACCCATCACCATTACCCCCCGATTATCTTTCATGAATCATCTGTGCAAGTAGTCAATTTGTCAGTTGGCGCATTGAGATAGTTTTCTTTTCAAACATGAAACATCTCTAACTTCACTGAGCTTCTAGATTATTCCATTTATATCAACATTTCTCTTTTCTATGATACTATAAGTTTTGTTAACTCCCAAATAAACTTTCCTTAGATCACTTTGAGTGTTTTAAACACCTCTTGTTGGGGGTGTGCATGAAAAGAGATATTTGAAACTACTATCCAATATTCAATACTAACTACTGATAAAAGTATGAGTCACTTTGTATCTTGTCTGTGGAGACATTTGTAGAGAGATTCCTTTATTGGCTATCACCACCAGCTTTTCTTGGAACTTTGCAGTCTTTATTAAATGACATTTTCCCGTAGTTTCAGTATTCACCTTTGTCATTTTCTCTTCCTAACCTAGACCATCTTTTGGACTTGAATCTGTCCCTTGCCTATATTTTTATCTGGACTCCTTTACTCAATTTTTAATGCAGAACTTAAAAATTCATCGCTTGCTGCCCTCTTGCGAATTTCTTCTTGTCATCGAAGTTTAACTTCATATTATATGAATAGTTACTGTCGTGATCAATCCATGTTAGCTTCCCACCAATGAAGATAGAATTAACAGTGTCATGATCTCATCATCGAATTTGATGCCCACATAACATAATTGGTTAGTCACAGTGTTGAAATTTTTCGAGCGTTCAGCCATCGAATTACCTTCTACCATCTTCATTTTGAATAATTTCTTTATCAAAAAACTTTTACAACGCTAAAGGTTTATTATACATTTTTGTCAGTGTCAATATGAAATCCATGGTAATTTTCTCATTCACTATGTTGAAAACAACATATGTGGAAAGTGAAAGATGAAAGACGGATCAATCCTAGAGTTGTTCTTTCCAGCACTTCCAATTCTTCTAGAGTCATTGATTCAAACTTCTAGTGATTCCTTCCAGTGTCAAATATAATTTTTCTTTTTGATACAACCAATCTTGCACTTGTATTTTTTAGAACTTAAAGTTCGATCCATTGGACATCTCCACTTTGTATCTCGCTTCGTCGGTCATAATTCTCACTCTAATCAAAGATCTTAAAAATAAGCCCCACTCCGATATCACTTGTTCGGATAGAAACCCAGGATCTGATCAATCATCAATTAAAACCACATTCTAGAAAACTTACACTGATTCGAGAGATTAGGAATAAAATTCGAATAGAAGCGCACGATAAAAAAAATCTAAAAAATCACACTAAGATTTAACATGGAAAAACCCGAGAATAGAGAAAAAGCACGGAGCCGCACCACACCAAAAATTTTCCTATGAAAATAAATAAAAAATGTACAAGACGCACGCACACTAATCTGAATTGGAGAAGAAATCACCCAAGACGCACGCACACTAATCCCCAAAAACGGGTTTTACAGCTTTCTTCTTGAGTCTGGAGCAAAGCATGCCGTAACTCACTAGGCCATTATCAGGTGTAGCTGCACCTCTGTAGCGTAGGGGTGTCTCCTTTGGCATGGGCGCATTACCATAGGGGTGTTGATTTGTGACTATAGCTAGCACTGGCTCACCAATATAGGTACAAGAACACCTCGTCTTTGCTATTGTGTTGTTGTATCCTTAAGTATTGGGCTCCACATACTATTAATCTCTCATGTAGAGATTGATAGCACTCAATCACTTCTCTAGTTATGCACCTCCATCAATACCATCTTCATAATTTTATATAGTAGTGTGGCTCACCTCCAGTCTCAACTTTCCTGGACTCCAACTAAAGCCAAGCATAGCTTTTTTTTTCTTAATAGTCACCACCTTAATCAATATATTTGCAAGATTGTGACCTGTGTATTTTTTCCAAGAATAATTGCCCATCATCCAGGAGATAATGAATAAAATGACACTTCAGCTTAATATGCTTCATTCTGACATGAAAATCTACATTCTTAGTTAGGTGAATAACACTCATACTGTCATTATGAAAATTTCCAATCTACGGCTCTTTGTTCAGTTCTGCCATAAAGCTCTGCAATCAAATCATCTCTTTGCTAGCTTCAATGATATCAATGTATTCGACTTTTGCAGTTGAAAGTGCAATAATTTTCTACCGCCTAGAACCCAACTTGTTGTTGTGTTCCCCAAAATGAAGATATACCCGTTGTATTTCTTCTATCATCTAAATTCTTGCTAGATTTGAGTCTACAAATCTTTGTAGATAGATTTTTGCACTTCCAAAGCAAAGTGGAATGTTAACTGTTTCCCTCAAATACCTGAAACTTCATTTTTTGACAGTTTTTCATCTTCTCTCACAAGAGGAAAGATCTTAGTGTAGTCCACTTGTTCATTTTGTTGAAACCCCTTCACAATAAGTCTTTACTTATAATGTATATTACCATTTGATTCCTCTTTCAATCTGTAGACCCACTTGTTTTTTAGTGCTCTTTTGCTATATGGTAATGCCACCAAATCCAATGACTGGTTTAACTTTAATGACTGTATCTTATCATCCATGGTAAGCTCTCGCTTCTTAGAATCGTTAACTTGGTTGGATTTTGCATAACACTCTGGTTCATCACTATCTGTTAGTAACAAATATTATAAAGAAGGAGAATACCTCATTGATCTCGAGATTTTGCTGAAGCTCCTCACTTTAATAGCATGTGACTAAGAAACTTCATGTGCTTCATCTGATTGAGCACTTCATCTTTTTCCATCCTTTTCTCACCAATATCTTCCACTCAATATATTGACTCTTCAGAAGTAATGGAAAGGAAATCCTGATTTCTTGTAAATCTCCATTTCATTGAAATTAACATCCCAACTCTATATGAATTTATGATTTTGATAGTCCCATAATTTGTACCTAAACTCTTTCAGACAATACCCAATGAAAGCGTACATGATAAATTTGGAATCAAGTTTACTTTAGAATCCTGCATCAATATGAACAAATGCAAAACAACCAAATACCTTGAGTGCGATAGATTTATCTTTTTGTCACTCTAGATTTTTTTTGGTAAGCATTCAGTTAAAGTAAATAATAAATCACGATTGATCGGATATACACTAATGTTCACTACTTCTACCCAGAATTGCCTTGACAAACTTGCATGTAACCTCATACTTCTGGCACATTTTGTGATGATTCTATTCTCGTGTTTAACCGCGACATTTTGATTTGGTATCCTTAGAACTATAAACTTATGCCTGATATTTTCTTAAGCACAATAATTTCTGAACCTCTGATCATAATACTCGCCCCCATTATCTGATCAAAGACACTTAAGCTTCAAGCCCACGTTATTTTCTACCACCACCTTCCACTTCTTAAACCCTTCTAATACATTAAATTTTTTTCTTTGAGAAGTAAGTTCATATATTTTTGGTGTGATCATCTATGAAAATAACAAAATAGTGGAAACTCGCAATGGACTGAACTGGAGTAGGACAACCCCATACATTAGTATGCACTAACTCTGCTTGTCATGAACACAATCTTTCTCGCTCATGTTGCTAAGCCCGGATTGCCAAAGACCTGCACCAACCTTAGTTATGGCAACTTCAATGGATTATGCCATCTCATCTATCAAATAAAGAATGCTTTCAATGTTTTCTCGAGCCATCACCATTGCCCTCTAGTCACCTTCCCACGAATCACATCTAAAAGTGGTCACATACACTTTGCGAGCTGACTCATTGAGATCATATTTCTCTTCATACTTGGAACATGTCTAACTTCTCCGAGCTTTCAGTCTGTTCCATTTGACAACTTGATATCAACTTCACCGTTTCCTAGGATTTAGCAGGCATTGCTATCTTCCAGGTAAACTTTCCCTAGATCACTATGAGTGTAGTTTTTAAACATTTCTTTGTTGGGGTATGCACGAAAAGAAATGTTTATAAAATCAGGGAGTCAAGTTGGATTTCTCTTGATATCTTTTCATGAAAAGATACCAAGAGAAATCCCTTTGCATGATTGAAATGTAAATATTGCACTTGTTATGGATTTTAATATTTTCAAGTCCCGATTTAATAAAAGGATACTAATTTAAAGAAATAACTTTTACAATGAAACAAGATGAAAATATATACAAGTCCTAGAAAAGCTATCCGTATCTTTGATCTGGAGGCTGATTTGATGGACACGTTGCACCCTTTAGCGTAATCTATTCTTAAGTTCATGTTTCAATCAGTTTTGCTTAGATGAAATGCATTTTTGTTGACCATGTCCGAAAATCCATTTGATATGTACTGGTCAAATGATGCATATTTTCTCTTATTTTGGTTTTTGTTCAAACCTAAAATTTTCTGCCATGATCTATTCAATTCTGAAAGGCTCTGCTTGGATTATAAAAAAGTTTAGTGAAATGAAATGGAAGTAATTTACTGGCCAAATTTGAATGATCAGTCATTGATATGAATGAAAATTTCAAGTTTTTTTTTTCATTTCCTTTCAGTCAAATTCCAGCATTTAAATAGAACCTTGACAACAGCCGAGCTCAAGAACACATGATGATTAATCATTGACAAGCTTGCATAGTCGATAAGGACGGTTTCAACTCAAAATTATCTTTTAGGAAAGTAATTTTTGATGAGATTGCAACTTCTAAACATTTTGATTAAAATTTATTTAATCCGTCTTTTAAGGTGTGTTTATTATGTTTTCAATCATTTGATGGAATGTAATTAGCTAAGAGGATTGGTTTTAAACTCCTTGTATTCTCAAATATAACTTCTTACCTTAAATTAGGTGAAAAGAAGTCTATATTCTTAAAACATAATTCTATTTACATTTCTTTTGACCGATGCTTCATGATGGATCATTTGCCTTGTTCATAGGATCTCCCCGGTGCACTCGATGATGCCGCAATAACAGAAGCTTTAGAGCTGCACAAGATTAAGAATCGGCAATGGTCCATCTTTAAAACCTCAGCTATTAAAGGAGAAGGGCTCTTTGAGGGTTTGGATTGGTAAGACTTTCCAGCTAAACACTCCATATAAATACGCTTTTCACATTATTTTCTTGGGGCATTTGTATACATTGCTATGTATTTACATATCTAACACCTAAACTTTCCTTTTTGCATTTATAAATACATCTTTTCGTGCATAGATAACGTGGCATATATGTCAAAATTGAAGTTTAGATATTAGATATGTGAATACATAAGAATTGAGAGTGCATGTAACAATTTATGCATTAGTGTGGGAAGAAGTATGCATAGATTTTTTGTAGCCTGTGTCGATCAGATGATCAAATTAATATTTTGCTGTTGCAGGCTTAGCAACACGCTCAAAGCCGGAGGTGGTTGATGCACAGAGCGAAAGTTCGAGTTGCCATCTTACAAGCTGAGTCTCATCGTTCCTTCGTCGTAAAACTTACATGAAGGACTCTGGTTCCTTTGCTTTATTTAATCAATTCTTTCCCCTATATACATGTCCCTACATTTAGCCTGTATGAACTGTTGGATCAATGTAAATCTTTTTGGGGTGTTGATATTTTCTTGCTCACTAGAATCGAAAACACCGGATGCTTATTGATTGGTAATTTTGTGCATTTTATACCTCTTTTTTCTTTAGCTCCTCATTAAGTATGTTTGTGATGTTGTTTTGTTATGGCTTTTCTGTTTTTTCTTCATTTCATTGCAGTGGAGAAATGTTCAACTTGATTGGCAACCTCAGATTAGGTTCAATAAATTGTAGGTGGTGGCCAAGGCATAAGGTGCTTAAAAATTAAGTTTTAATGGTGGCCAAGGCAATAGGTGTTTTATTTAATCAAATGGTGCTGGAACTTTTATAGGGATAAAATCCTTGATTTAGCAATAATTTGATGTAGAGTTAAAGTTATGATTTAATGTGGTTCCATGAATAATATTTATTAAGCCATTTTCTTAATTTAATTTATGATCAATTGCATTGTAGAATTTTCGCTCTTTTCATTTAACTATATGTTTAAATAACATGTTATAATTTTTATTAAAAGAAGGTCTAATATTCAGATATGACCAATAAAAGAAGGGTATATAAATCATGATAAATTGATACATGATTTTTATAGATATCAATAATTATTAATGCAATTGATGAGAAGAAATAAATTACTATAATGAATTTAAGAGTAAGAGTATTCACCTTAATAATGATTTATTTGTTCCTGAATTTGCTTTGATCTTCACTCTTCTAAAATTGATGCATATATTCATATTATTAAAACTTAATTTATTCATATTATTTTAATAATTATTAACTATACATTATTTAAATATTTATTTTCATCATTTTACATTATGAAATCCTAATTAATTTTGTTTTGCTATTCAGTGTATCTAAAATTCATTAACTAAATTATAGTATATATCTAATCTTACCTTATCAAAGTTGGCTTGGGTCAATCTACCTCATCCTTTAGTTTGCAACACTTCTGCTTCTCTTCTGCCCAAGTTGAAATTCTAAACCAAGAGTTTCAATTTAATAAAATTTTATATCACATACATACGCAAGAAGATTTATATAATTTTCTTATTAAATCAAGTAATTAAAATTATTAAACCTTACATTTAAATCTCGTTCGAGCCCTAATCCATGTGAACCCTTCTTCCTCCCCTCCTCTACGCATGTGAAGATGGTACTTCTTCCCATACAAAGAATGTTCGACTCATTCTTCACCCACGCACTAGGGTTCGGTCGACATGGTAGGTTTCACACTGCGATAGCTTCCCTCCTGCTTCTTCATCCGGCTTCCACTTCGTTCATATGTGATCACAATGTCATCATCCTAACCTGACAACACCTCCTTTTGCATCTTTCATGGTGTCCTCTCCTTCTCACCAGAGCCACTCAACTCTACAAGTAAGTTGACTGTGACGTTTTATAGAGTGAAACTATCATTTCATTTTCCAGACTCTTTGCTTCATCTCCCTCTCTTTGACTCCCTCGAGTATCTGAAACAAGGTGTCACTACAATACCTCGAATACCACCCTCTGATGCTGTAAGTGCTCCTCCTCAAATTGGTTGTATGCCAAAATGTCGTCAAAGTAGACCACTACAAATTTCTTAATATGGTTCCAAAATACCTGATTCCTTACCTCACAAAAGTGTTGGTCGTGTTTGATAATATGATGGACATAACTGTCAACTAGTATAACACATTGTGTCTTAAAATCTTTCTTCCACTCATCTCCAGAACTCATCCGAATTTAGTGATATCCACTACATAAGTTTAAATCATAGAGATGTCTCTACTCCATTTTTTAAATATTAATTTGGATATTTTATATGCATGATATTTCTAATATTGTGAATGCAATGTTTTGTGTAAATTTGGTTTTGATTATGAGTTTCGTTAAATTTAAAAGTAAAGTTAAAGTTATTTATTTAGTTTGGGTATAAAATTTAGTCCTAAGATAAGCTTGCTGATAATTCAGGTAGAACGCACAAGCAAAGCTCTAGTCTAAAATGTGATCAGACCTATCGAGCAACACAATGAAAAAACAAACAGTGGGCGTCAAACCTAAATCTACATCAGACTCGTCGGTTAACATCATCCAAATCATCATTACTGATTTAGTTGAGGTTCACTTTCACTTTAGTGTTCATTCTCTCTTGGATGGTTCAGACATTGTTAGTAATTCAACCAAAACACTCCCTATAGAAAGCAAAAGACATTGTATGAAATTATAACCTAGGTTAATACAGCAGCCTAACCGTGTTAACTATAGAAACCCTAAAAATAAAGTTAGCACATCCTAAGCTTACTATAACAACCTAGAAACATGAAAAAAAAATCTATGATAATATAGTGCAATAGAAAATCATATACTCATCCTAACAGGCATCTAATGAGCAAACAAAATACTCATAACACAAAACCTATATACTCTTGTAAAGACTAAAGGGTTAGTGCCTTATGATGTCTAAAAGTGAGTGAATTGTGAAGTGACAAGATTGATTTAATTTTTATTTGAGACCATCACAGTCAAGATTTCTATGACTTTCCGTCATCCCGATTTTGTTGGTTTTGGATCTACTTAGTCAGGACAACATATTACAACAGTGAGATATTTGTTAGCAATCATGGGTTCAATCATCCAAAAAATCTTTGTAAACCTGAAGGGTTAATTTTTATTTTTCAAGTTGCATTTGGTGTTGTTTGTTTATCATGGGTTTACTTTATGTTTTAATGTATTTCAAATTTTATAAGTTGATAAATTGTATCTTATTTGACTTTTATCTGATTTTTAATCAATTTGATTTTTAATAAGATTATTTTATTTTTACTAGGACTGTCTTTATGACGACCTTGATCAAGATTCCATGGTTCCATCGTCCTTGGATCATTAAGGTTTGTAATCTTCATGGTTAAAAGTAACATGAGGAGTCATTGTAGCAGTTATTGGTTACTTCATTCAAGGATTCCCTGCAAACCGAGGGTTCGTTTAATTAAGTTCAAGTTTAAGTATTAGTGAATCTTATAGTTTACTTCGAGATTTAATCACTTGTAAATTTTGTGGATTTTAGTTGACTTTTACTTGAGTTCACTTGTTATGTCTTTAGGGTTTGTTTAATGTTTCAATTATGTGATTAATTTGATTATTATATGTCTTGATTCATATTTGTTTGTTTGATCCTTTAGCAAAGATTTTGCTTGATTTGGAGTTTTCTTGAAAGAGTTATTAAGATTTCAGTTTGTCGAGGGTACGCTTGTAAATTTGTTATTTTCAACCTAAACCCGCTTCATCTCAAAGTGAAAATTATTTATTGTGTTTTAATATTTATTAATGCATACTTAGAAGTGATTTATTAATGATTTTCATTCTTAGTCATTTCATTTGTTGGGTGTGATAATAAGAAGGGTACGTACAAATGAATCCATATCCATTTTGAAACACTTGAACTTAATGTTTGGTTGTTATTTGACTACTCATTAATGATTTTAAGTTAAGATTATTAAGTTTTATGTTTATTTTAAGGGGAAAATACGATCGAGGTTGTATTTTAAAGTTCTAAGAAATTACAAATAAACCTCTAATCACATTTGATTAATCAAACTTTATTATATCTTAGTTTATTCTATTAATTAATTATCATTTGCATTAAGTTTCAAGATTCTTGGTTCTTTGGGGTTTGAATTAGGGTTCAAGAGTTAAGAGGGGCAAACTACAAATGTAAACTTCCTTATTATTATTATTATTTTATTAATCATAAATTTTGTTATATTCTAATTGTTTTACATTTTATTAATGAGTTTTATTTGAGTTTTAGATGTTGTTGAGATTTTAAATAATCAATTATAGCCTTAGGGTAGATTTGTAATTTTGTTAATTTTGACTTGTTAACTTTTCGAATTTTCCATGAGGTGTGTTCTAAATGATAAATTTCTCATGAGTCTTCTGATTAGGATTAGTAATATTTCATAAAGTATGATTTTTATAATTTTTAATAATTACAAATTTAATTACCCATAAGCATATTTTGATGGTGACTTAACCATTTCATTTCACATGTTTTTTTGATCAATTTATTAAATCTTTAAAATCTAAAATTTTGTTTTAGTTAAAATTTGGAGACAAAGGGGTTTTAAGTGCCAAAATCCCAATTTACAAATACACCCATGGTTGGATTTGTGTGACTTTTTATTTTCAAATTTTGTAATTATCATTTTAATTCATAAATTTGTTGTTTTCAATACACTTTTCAACTTCAAGTGTTTTTTTTTTAGTAATTTTGTGATTTATCTTTTTTTTTATATATAATTTTCCAACTCCTTGCAAATCTCATGTGAGTTACATTTCAATCTTAAATGTGGACTCTTTTGATATTGGTTAGGACTTTCTTGATGTCACTTTTTAATGTTGATTTTAGAAGAGGTTTTGGTGTGATTTTAATGGAATTTAGGGGTTATTTTAGTGATTGATTTTTGTGGAACTTGGGTGAAGTTTAAGGAGCTATTTTTGTGGAAATTTAGAAAAGGATTTTGGTGGAATATTTAGGAAATGAATTTGGTGGGATTTTTGGTAAAATTTTAATGAAATTTTAGTGAGGTTTTGGTGATTGCCTTTGGTGGAATTTTTGGTGGAGTTTAGGAGAGTTTGGGTGGACATTTTTGGTGGTTGATTTTTTTGAGATTTTAAGTAGAGTTTTAGAAAGGTATTTTTTGAAAGCATAGAATATATCCCATTTATATTTTATGTATTTACATTCACATCACAAAATTATTATATATTTTCATAATCAACACATAAGTGCCCATATATATTTAATTTTTCACATGCGTAATATTTAAATTTTTTTTCACATACATACACATACATAGCACTCAAAATTTTGATTTTACATAAATATGCATACATAACACTAAAAATTTTCATTTTCATATACAAAACACAAATAATACTAAGTCTTAATTTTCACATAAGAAAACTACAAAAT